ACAATCCTTGTCTGTATATTGTTGTTTTTCAACAATAAACATCAAATTAATAAGCAATCCTTTATGTTAAAGGCAACAGAACAAAGAGACTCCGATTTCCGCCAAAATACAAAGAAAAATAATTTAATTAATTTCCATGACAGAACGGACAGATAATTATCTAATTACGCGAAGTAGCGAGGGAATATTTCGATAACTTTTACGATACTGTCGGGCTCGAGTTGCCGTCGCAATTTTTAATAAATTAATAGGGATGTTTAAAAACTCATAGAGAACTCATTTCTATGAGTATATCATTTATTACTTGCCTGCACTAATTAAGATAATAAATATTTAATTTCAAAAAGAACACACACATATACACAATTTCTTAATCAAATAATCTCATTAAATATTTACACTTTTAACGGTTTAAAGAGCGTAATATAGTACCTAATGGTAGTATGAAGCAGATGACATCGTGTTTTCATACTAAACACGATGTCATCTGTCTGATTTGGTTTTTGAAAAAAAATATTAAAATAACTTAGACAATAGTCAATATTTTTACTTTTATTCGGTTTACAGTTTACTGAAGAGGATAGACAATAACGGGGTTCGAACTAGTATACGACCGGACGACCTTTTTTTGCTTTTTTGAACTACATGGGCTAATAATTAGATTTCCAGACGAAGTCTAAAAGTGCTTTAAAATATATAAATTTGTCTATTCAGGAGCAACAGAAGATTTATAATATTATATGGTTACTAGCTGACCTGGCAAACGTTGTTTTGCCATATAAATAATTTTACTAAAATGGCTATAAACAATAGGGGTTCGTGATAAAAAAGTGAAAGTTTAGGGTTGTATGTATTTTTTAGTGCCACATTAGAAAAAAATTAAAAAAAAATTCAAGGGTGAACAACCCTTATCACTTAGGGGGATGAAAAATAGACGTTGTCCTATTCTCAGACCTACTGAATACACATATGAAATTTGGTGAAAATCCGTAAAGCCGTTTCGGAGGAGTACGGTAAATAACACTGTGACAGGAGAATTTTATATATAAAGGTATAATATCGTATGGTTGTTGCTTTTCTTGTCTGAATCGCTTTGTTCATGGTATGCTACCGTGTAGTGAACAAGAGACCTTTATAGTAGTAACGGCAAACGAAATTTAAAATTCAGAATTCAATTCACTGATGATGTATTGTTCGTTAATCGTTTTAGGATTATTCAATACTAATGAACGGAATTTACTATAAATTGGAGGAAGTCTTTTAAATTATGTGGGTAGATGTAAAAAAACACATTATTATGTTTTATTCAATGTTACACAGATTTGTGGAACTATTTTTTGTTGACCTTAGTAAAATATTTTTTGAGTTTACGATTTGAGTTGTCGATTTGTTATAATTTGCAAAAATTTAAATAGTTAAAACTTGATTATGATTACGCGCATCTTACGTGTTTGTGTGAAGTCGAAGGTTCGTTCCCCAGTCCTGAAACAATAATGCGGACTGGCATCTCCTACAACCTAGACCTATTGTCATTGATTGACATGCATTTGGCCATCTTAGAAACTATATACCCCTAGGTAGGCAATAGGTATAATAGTCCAATATGTTAATGCAATATGTATCTACGAAAACACTGTTAAAATTCGTTCACAGCCTGATATCCAGAGTAACAACATTTAAACTTTAAACATAATATTTAACGACGATAATTTATGTAAATCAATTGAATTAATTTAAATATTCAAATTCATAGCTTTGCCACGAAGCCTTTTAGTGGAAACATCTGAACATGGCGCTCAGGATTTCATTTAAATGAATGCTATTGTCCAACTTAACGGCTGTTACAATATTATAATACGAACCTTACTTCGGGTGTAATAATTTGGGTAATGTGTTGCGGGCTTCTTGTTCCAATGGTAGCGATGTATTCCCGATCAAATATCGTACAGTGAGAGAAGCTTGAAGCGAAAAGCCAGGTAAAGCCGTCGGGCGTAGTGCTAGTATGGATTAGGTTAAGTAATCATTAAAACGCCTCGCTGTGGCGAGAGTCCTCCAATTCGAAGTCCGCAATTAACCTAATGACTGTTATATTATCAGCCATTAACATAAAATCTACAGTCGCCTGCTAAAATACGAAGAGCGCTTTAAAAACTAGAGGTTTTAAAAACGCGGTATAATTTTAATTTTTTTTCGGGTCATTTCGCTGCGAGTGAAATTCATAGCTTTAATAAAAACAATGAAGTGAGCTTTTATTAGCGGGCACGAGTACCGGGGTTAAAACCAATACAAATTCGACGTTTATTTTTGTACGGAGTTCGTTTTAGTGCTGCACAATAATTTGTAGTACGACATATTCGAAATTGGTACTAATTGAAGTAAGCTGAAATAAACTAACGTTAAGCTGAAGCAAACAATATTTCACCTTCCACCAAGTGAACGCGATGCTTGTTTGTCCTCATCTGTTTTTAATTCAAATCGTTCAGTTCTATTTGGACCGTCAAAACACTTAGCACAGACCCGTCGCACTGAAAATAAAGTTGGACAAAACCTCTGAAAATGTCTGCGAACAAGTATCCCCGTTGGGAAACCGGCATTCCTGCTAATTTCCACGACGAGATAAAACGATATGATTGAAAAGAATTCCTCAAACAAATCTCGATGCATTTGTTCGCAGGACTCAAAGTTTCCAACCCAGAGTTTGAACAATATTCGTTTGTTCGATTAAATACCATAGGAAATATAAGGCAAATAATAATTCTATGTATGTGAAATCCCCTGTGGGAAATGGGACGAAAACGTTTGTATGTTAATTTCATTGCTCGATTCGATAGCAAGTAGTCTATCAGATCTCTGTTCAACCGGAACAGTTTGTTGCTTCTCCGGGATTCGAATCCAGAATCTCTCACGCATTACCCAATGATTTCGTAATCATTTGGTTGTAACTTCTTGTAAAGCCTGGTTGGCAATAGAAAAAAGAGCATTTCGCCCAAACCAGGATTTGAATCTGGAGGAATCTGTAGTCGAGTGCACTAACTACTAGACTAAAGAGTCTCGTAAAACTCTCGTACATTGGCTGAGATGAAATCCGCTCCTAATGAAGTTTGTGCTTCGAGGTAGTTAAACTTCGTATACTATTACTACAAATATTGGTGTTCGGGTACTTGGAATTGTGTTAAATCAGAGTACGAACTATTTTCATTCGGAAGTATCTCCACGTACTTGTACTGTATGTTGTGTTAGCTAATGCCGAAAATCCTGAATACCTGCGTTCGCGTAGAATAGTTATTTTAGGCATTAAATTAGTTTTTGCCAAACTCCTGTTCATCTTCTTGAATTTAAGCTGTTACCCACGAAGTCCTTAAAATATAGACATATACAGTCGGGGACATTTTAGATCATTTAAGAATGTAAAGTCGATGTATAATCGAAATAGATTAGTTACCTTATTTTTAACTAAGACTGTTTCGTATGTTTTATAAGAGCAGTGGTCCGGGTTAGGGGAGACTAAGGCTGGTGGGCGTGCCTAATGTCAAAGCCAAATCTGTTTTGTCCTCTTTCTTATTAGTGTGCACTTTTGGGGATAGTTGGTTAATGTTTATTATTATTGGATCCCAAGTGCATAAGAAAAAATGCATTTTGAAAGCTTTCGCCTTATAACAAACTTACAACATATATATGGGTAAATGGGTGTGATTGTTAAAAAGTTGGCTTAAAATAAAGAGCTAGATAATTTAATACAAGTTTATATATTTATCCAGATTATACACCATCGGACTATAATATTATAGAGGTAGTAATATAGTTTCTTACAAAACTTTAAATTTTTTATGATTGTTCTTAGTATAGATCTATACGATGTATATATTTCGTATGTCTGTATGCATTTTGACCATTCAAGACACGTAGAAATGATGAAATGCATAAGTTACCACGTACGCCAATAAAATCTTTTTAGAGCTATCTGCTTTTGTCTTTGTTTTATATCTTTCTAAACCTTATTTCTCTTGAAACGGAGAGAATACAGGGCCGGATTATGAATGTAAACAATATGTTTATTTGTGAAATAAGTAATTATTTAAAAACCGAAATAGTAAGACATATTTATTATTTAATGATTTCATTACTTATTCTAAATACTATACAGTATAATATATATCAAACGCAAAAGATTAAAATGGAAGAATACAATTCCAAATATTTGATAGATGTTTGTTTCGTAAATGTACAAAATTATTGTCAATCAGATTAAAGCGCATAACAGCAAAAATATCCCATACGTATGTATGAATGTAATAAAGACATATACAATGTATAATTTTAGTATTTGAAAATAATATTCAAAATAGTCTAAACGAATTACACTAACAAAAAATACCACAAGCGTAATATTATAAATATGCAAAGTTAATTTAGGTTTTATGGACGCGAGTTCATCTCTGTACTCTTGCGTGCAAAGTTTTGAAGTAAACCGATATTGAAATGAGATAGACACTGCTTGCCTTAAACAACTTTAGGAAAATAGTTCCGTGAGGTGAAACAAACAAGAGTGTTTTAAAACTGAGCCAATAATTCCACGGTTCAGTACAACGCATTGCATTTTATTAATGCATGATGACCCGGATTCAAATCCTGATAGCAAAGCTTGTAACTTGTAGGGCAGAACCTGGTCTAATTACTTATTTAATAATAAAGATACAATATTAATTATATTTCAAAATCACTTCGTTAGATTCATGTACACTTTAAATCAACCTTTTGTTAAAATAATCAACATTTAACTGAACCACCCTTAAATGTCACAAACGCGAAATATATTACTAGTTTACAGCAGCCATGGTCACTGGAGGAAAAGTTAACTGATTAACTTATTTAGTATTTAACAAGTTCAATCATATTGAAAATAAATTATATATTTCGCGTTTTAAATTGATTTTTTTTTATTTAAATGTGTTCTACTCGCATCAACAACAGACAATAATTAAAATAGTCTACAATATAACTTAATCATGGTTCGTTGACCTCGTTTTTGATCGGGCGTCAGTATTAATCCTTAACAGGTGATTGAATAAACCAGGCATAGAGGGGAAATCGAACGCCTGCGACATGTCCACAATATTCTTATGAAGATTAGCTTCTTCCTTTTGGAACACCTCAGGTAAGTTTAGTTCTTTGTAAAGCTCCTTGATTCTTTCCACGTTCTTGAGATCTGGGCTTCCATAACACGTGGTAAAAGTGTCCTTCTGTTTCGCATTAGCTCGTTGCAATGCCTGTACCGCCAGCCAGGAGCACTTCCTTTCCTGTATATCGGTTCCGGATTTGCCTATCACGTGCTTTGCAGTAAAGACATCCATGAAATCGTCCTGCAAAGAAGATATTACAAACTGATCAAGATACCCAAAAATAAGTATAAAAGAATTATTCCTAGTTTTTATTTATAAAAATGAGGAGGTTTTCAAAAACAATCACCACTATCAATAATTATCACCTCCATGATTAAACATTTTACAATTAACATCAAAGGTCTTCTGTTTATGTTCGTACTGTTTTTGAATCCAGTGGTGACTATAAATTGTGTCCTACTGGACCGAAACTGCAATCCTTCCCAGGGCTATAACCCCAGGACTTGCTGACTACTGAGCCCGAAGGTGTAATAAAAAATATAGAGAGTGGTCATGAGCGGGTAGATGTTTATTTTATATGTAGGTAAAAATTTTGTGAAAAATAACACATTTTATATCATAGGAGTCTTTGAATATTTTAACTATAACTATATTAATATAGCATACTTATTAATATGTAATTATATAACATAACAAAATAAACATATACTTACAATTAATAAAAATAAAATAAAACAAATTATCAAACTTTGTAACACTTACTTGCATTTGAAACAGATAACCCAACGCCAAACATATTTCTTCAGCCTTGCTATGCGTTCGCGCAGGAATATTGGAGGCCATCATACCCAAAAATACCGGCAACTTAAACGTGTAGTAAGAGGTTTTGAATTTTACAATGTTACTGTAACGCTCCGGTGTGTACAGCTTATAGCCCTTGCTATTAGATGTCGCGTAATCTAAGTGTTGGCCTATTGATGTGTAGAGAAGGGACTGAAAAAAAGGGAGTTTAATAGTAGTTTATCATACAGTGTGTGCTAATCTAATAGAATGAGACTAGTTGATCACTTTTTTTATTCTATTTTATTCAACTAGACATTGACCTCTAGATCATTTTACTGTTTTTTTACAAAAGCAGTAAAATACCAACCTCATTTACTAATTGCACCATATTGAGATAGTTTTTGTGTCCAGCGCAATATGTCTTCAATATTTCATACAATATTCCCAGTAGTATGCCGCAGTCATTTACTGCTTGTCTCCCGACTTCAGGTAAAAGGAACCAGCAGGGTTCACCTCTTCTTGTCAATGAGTTGTCTAGGATGTCATCAGTCATGAGGAAATATGCTTGCACCTGAAATCATCATAATGGAACAGTTAATCGCAGCCGGGATTTGGGTTTTCTATCCTATGAATTACCATGCCTGCGTACAAGTGTTGGCAATAATTGTCGTCGATAGTTTATTTCTAAGATATCTAGCTGACCGATTAATATTCTAGTGCTAGGCACAGGTTTTCTTTCTGTCGTGGTTACCCAGTGCAAGAGGGAGCAGGTAGCTCAATAGGTTAGAGCAACAGCACGGAACGCGGTGGATGACGGTTCAAGTCCTGCCCATGTCGTACAATTTTTTCAAGGTAAAATCGATTTTTAATTTATATGCTAATGCTATCTTGTGAAAATATTAAAGTTTTCTCATGAAAATACCTCTTATTTAAACTTGACATAGCTGCGTATTTAGCTAAGCTTTTCAGCAATGATTTTCGGGGCCTAGAGCAACAAGAAGCTTTATTCAAAACAGAATAGTACAATAAACGTATAGATAGACAATATCAAGGCCCCTTTATGAAGGGGACACCTGTATATTTTTTACCAGTTACGTATTTCTATTTTTGGGGTATACGGTAGATTTGTGTGTTTGACTTTTTGCTCATATGCAAACTGTGTCCTGGGATAAAACCCCGAACGACGCGTAAATCAATGTTTGGACGTAAGCCATGGAACCAAAGACTCTATATAAACCACATTTATATTCTCACCATTTCAACACACCAGCCTAGCACCTTCACCATCTCTAGATTTTTATCATTTTTATTCTCACTTAGTGCGTCATAAGTAGAGATCGTCATCACACCCCGTGACTTTTTGCCGCCTCGTAAATTATAATCCATTATCTGCAATTACAATTTAATAAAGAAATACAAAATAAAATAAAAAGTCATGTGTTTAATTATGATTATATTTAGACTTACACAGGCGTAAATGGTACATATAATAAATATAAACGTTGGCTTCCTAATTAAGTAATAAGTAATTTACGAAATTATTTAGTTAATAACATTTTTATTTTATTGCATTATATAAACTGGTAATTTCTACCTTTTTAACCCACGTCATTGCATCCGGATTATCGTGAAGTCCCGGGCATTTGTTAAGACTTTTCATTATACCCGGATAAACGCCTTGAAATGTTTCCATTTCTCTTTTATAATCTGTGGTGGATGATGTGCTTCCTAACCTGCATAGCTGCGCGAGTAGATTTCTGTAAAAATATAACTTATTATGTTTCTATCTCTATCATACAAGGAAATTCATATTCGAATGAAAGAGACAAATAGAGGATAAACATTTATTACACTGTTTTATATTATTAGTTACTAGTATTAGTTTACATCTTCGCCGACTTCAAGTTGAATCATAAAAATTTGTTTAGTCGTTTTGGAGTTGCACAGTTTGTATATAATAGATAGCTAGCATAAATAGCTTAATTTCTTTTTATATGGATATTATTACACAATTAAATACAATGTGGTATTTTTCTTTTTATCCGTTTTTTTTTAATTTCTTGACGAATAAAGACTAACAACTTATTTCGCATTTTAAACCGTTAAAACTTAGATGTGTACTATTCGCGTAAAGTATAAGTCGGTCACAGTATGAAATTTGAGTACGATTAGGTACTGTTTATCTATTCAATGTCAACCTTCGTCCAAATCGCACTTGGCTAGTTTTATTAATACCTTTGCCCGCGACTTCGTCCGTGAAGAATAGTTATTCCTGGCAATAAAAATAGGAATTCTTGTTCCATACGAATTTTTGAGTATCTCGAACCGCTTTAGCATCGCACGCAATGGAAACCCACAAAGATATAAAAATGTTCACCGTTTTTTTCACATCTCCCATTGTTCCTTCGCTCTAGTTAGTTGCAACTTGCAACGTGAAGTTTTATAGTCTAAAGCCTTTTCTCTATAAATGCTCTAACCAACACAAACATATTTTTTTGAATTCGAACTAGTACTTTATAAAATTAGCGCGTCAAAATTTTCAGCTTTATAATATAAGTATAGATATTATTATGTAGATTGTAGGGGTTTCGCACAATACGCGTTGTAAGAGGAATCGATACATTTTCCTTAAGAATATTTAAACTATATAAATCATAGTTTTTCTAGTGCACTAACGGGTTTTATAGTAACTTTTTCCTTAAACCTTAATAAAACGGAATGCCAAGGTGTCTTGGCACAGCTCGATATGGGGTGAATGGCATTTAAATTATATACAATACCTACATTCTAAAATACTAAGAACATTTTAACAAGTACTTGTTTTAGTGGACTTAATATTTTAAAATTGTTGGTATCGGCTGTCTTCTCCTAATCTTACTCGTGTGCAAACAGGATGGGGCAAAATGCCCTACTAAATCTTCCGGGATTTAAATCTGAACTTTTTGAAGCCAATAAATTATTAGTAATATAAATAGATATTTAAACTAGACTCGAAACGCAAAATTTTTTCCTCAGTTTTTGCATCTACAGACGGTGGTTTGAAATGAAGACATATTTTCGGAAATCCTACTACCAATTTAATATCCTGATTTACCAGGCCGAAGTTATTGCTTCAGGAATAATATGAATTTATTTTAGAATCATGTTGGACCACGTCGTTATCGACACATTTATTATTTAAAAAATTTGTCGCATAGCTGTAATGCAATTAATGGTATATTTTTAGCTAAGTTTAGGTCATGTACATGAAGCAAAGACTCTAAAAAATTCGTGTTTTAAATCTTCAAAAGTGTTTTATTTAAATAAATACAAATCGCGTAAAGCACCGACAGCACATAATATGGAAATTTTAATAAAGTAATCTTACCGTTTTATGGGCGTCGAAGCTTTAATACCATTTAATATTTTCCACATTTTGTACACTCACTCAAAAAATGTGGTATCTAAAATATTTCGCGTACAACTCCAAAGCCTTTCCTCGAATCACGTACTAGCAACTGCAGACAATCGAAGACTAACAAACGAAATGCTACCTTCGTATATAATATAATTAAATCACGACAGAAGAATGATACATAATTATTATAAATTATTGTTTATTATTGACAACGCTGTCGTTCGGTTTCGGTCGCGCTTAGAACTGAAGATAGTATCGCCAACGTTTTTAAGGAATTACATTTATGTTGCGCGAGGGACATATTTACTATTCGCTTTTCGGGTATAAATGAAAAAAAATATTTTAAGTTTATGAACGTACGATTAGATTAAATACTTCTGACGGTTTAAAACGCGAAATATATTATACCCCATGTAATCACAACTGGAAACCATGAAAATGTTAAGTCAATTAACTATTTGTTTGAATAATTAAAAGTGGTTTATTCATAAGATCAACAACATTTCCTTTTTTGCATCAGTAATTGTTAAACTCAAGTATCTTGTTGGTTGTTTCGTTACTTATATTGTGGAGAAAATACATTGTGTATCACTATTTGTTTATTGGCCGACGTTATTTGAACTCAAATAAAAAGCACATCATTGTTTTTCGCGCTGTTCGGCCGACGCGAGTGAGAGAGTTCTCGTCATTTCGCCATCACGAGCAGACGGCATTATCAGGAGATGCTAGCTCCTCGATTTAACGAAGAATTAAGTTTATTCTTCGAGCCCTAACAACGATGATGAGCTGAATAATGACCGTGAAAGCCTTACACCAATTAGCAAATTAAAAGGCTTAAAGTTAAATTCCAGTTTCAAGTCCGGGCTGAAATTTTCTCGATTATCCGTTCGGGTTTTCGATTCCCACCAGACCCATTATGGACTCAATTTATATTTTTTTCTGTAAACATGTTGACTTTGTGATATCAAACGAGTGCTTGTCTGTCTTCCACTAATATATAAAAAATGTTTTCCCGGGTTGTTTTCAAATCCAACACCTTTCCGTTCCCACATGGTTTTTTTGAAGTATGTAAAAGAATTATTGTGTGTGCTTAGTTTCATTACAAATAATTTGTAATTACGTTTACGAAATACAGGAAAATCTACTAGGAAAAGCATTAAATAATAACCTTCACTTGTTTTTTTTATATCCTTTACAATAGATATTAAAAAATTAACTCATGCGCATATATTTTATACTGCCGGTTTAGGTTATTTTTATTAAATAAAATATAATGTTGACTTAATTGACATTTGCGTATTATTTATGATTCAATATAAGTCAGTTTGTTAGCAACTTTTTTACATAATTAACATACGAAATAATGCAACATACACCGCCGTCGAATAATTAAGGGAGGATTATATATAAGTCCCCCTTATGGGCATAATCAGCTCAAGTAAAAGGGTTTTAGAGATTTGACCCACCACGTTTCTCCAGAAGGGGTTGGCAGATTTAAAGCCTACTACCACTATATCAGTATTATAAACCGAGACCGACGTCTTAACATGATCTTCGAGGTTCAGTTAAAGTTAGTATGACAATGTCTCTAAATAAAATTAAAATATAATTAACCAGCTGATACGGTAAAGGTCGTTCTCAATTTAAAAAAAAAAAAATTTTTTATGTTGATGCAACTCTTATAGGTACATAATTGGTAATAATGTCTTCGTCGACCAAATTTGATTAACGTTAAAATGGTTCTTGCGAGTGAATCTTAAAAGATAGATATAAGATATACTGTTGGGTCAAATGGTCGATCATTTAAAGAGAAAACACTCTTTCATACTTAATACTTGGTTTCTTGAATCGGTATTTCATTCATATTTGAAAAATCACGGGCCCATATTTTATTACTAGCTGAATCAGCGACTTCGTCAGCGTCGAACAGTTATCTTGGGCATCCAAAATTGTCTTTGCAAACCTACGTCATCGAACGCGTCTCGTCGTTCGCGACACGCCGTTTAGTTCCCGTCGTTCATGCGTGTTCATCTTAAGAGATAGACATATACTGTCGTGGACAATTTTTTTGATAATTGAAAAAAAAAATAATTCTCTCGTACATATTTTTTGTGTATCTTGAACCATGAACCGCGTACGCATCGGAAAACCTACAAAGATAAATAATTTTCCCCGCTGTTACCGCATTTTCCGCTGTTCCTTCGCTCTTATTACACAGCGCAATGTTTTATAGCCTATGTAGCCTTCCTCGACAATGTTCTAACCAACACAAAAATAATTTTTCAATTTAAGCCCGTAGTTCCTGAGACTAGCGCGTTCAAACAAACAAACAAACTCTTCAGTTTTATATATTAGTATAGATAGATTACAGGTCGTCAAGTTCTAGTCTGCACGTGAAAGGGATAAATACTTAAAAGTTATTTTCCTTCTGAACTTATACTATCCTCTCGAAGAAGGGACGAAGTGTATTCTTCTATATTTTCACACGTCAAGTCCAGAGCTTAGACATTTGTCTCCGACAGTATCTAACGTTCGTGCGTCGTTTAAACGTAACATCGCGTAAATCACGTTATTACGGTTACGCCTCCAGGGTATAACAATTTTTTCTATGAAACATTTTTACGGTTTCAAACGCGAAATATATAATATAGAATCAATTTAACGCTTTAAAACTCGAAATATACCGTAAAGAAACCGTATGTTGCCGTGCATCTAAAACGTGACTCGTGCTGTAGTTTAATATAAGTAGTTAACAATTGACGTTTCGTACCGTTGAAAATGTAATTAAACTTTTAAATTCGATGGATGAACCAACACTATATGTAATTTTTGTATATATAAAAAAATCTTTATAAAGTTGTCTACTTTATTATTGTCTAAAAAGCTAAGGAGAGTTAGAAAAAGCTTTGCATCTGTGCAAAACATCGTGTGGCTGTTTTATTAAAAAAAAAACACACACACAGTGTTACTTTAAGAAGAATTGAACGGATTTTGGTATCTTGCAAAATTTGATAGCATGCGGGTAGTTAGCAGGGCGCAGCTGGTTTAAAAAAAATCTAGTTAAATATGAAGCCAGGGATTAATTTATACCCGAACGAATGTTGGCGATATGAATATTTTGATATACGTCACACAGACGTAATATCCGGAAACTAATAAGCTGACGTCCGAATATTTGCTCACCGCTGTTTGCGTGTGCGACAGATAAACAAAATAATGGAGTGGCCATAATAATTATTCTGAGCCTATATTTTTCTTGTCAAAATTAAATAGTCACAGTTACGACTATATCTCAATATCAAATTTAGTAAAGTAAGCGAAGTATATTTGAAAATTTGTTTTGTCGAATTTGTTCAAGCTAGTGTGATTTAGCAATAGCTTGAAAAAAAAAAACGATGATGATACAGTAGCTTAATTGGTTAGAGCAACGGCCCGTAACCCCCCCCCCCACGCTGGGGAAAGCGACTGTCATATCATCGTTCGAATTTGGGAGAAAACATTTTCCAATAGAAGAATTCATTATTATTCAGATTTCAACCTAAAGTTCAAATTCAAAAGTTGTACTCTGGTAGTATAATAAGGATATAATGTACCACTATAAAAGTGAAATATTTGGGTCCCTTTCACTGATCGGATCTTTTAAAGGCAAGTACTTGATCAGAGTTCTTTGCCCTGCCAGAGCGAAAATAAAAATAAAAATTAAATTAAATTACGTCTATGGTTTTTCTGAGATTCGAACTTATGACTTCCCACGTTTAATCGTTTAGCTAGCGAGGGTATATATATTAAGCTACGTATAAGAAGATAATAATGAGGAAAATATTATACAATTAATAAATAAAACTACTATAAAAATTCAACGAATTACTTTAGCAAAGGAAAAGATGAAGCGCTAAAGGAAAATTGTGAATTTCGCTTCAATTATTTCCCCATTCCATTGTTTGTCGGTTTGCTAATCTGCAATTCAAATAATTAGCTATAATTGCTTCCGATCTCAGGGTCGTTGCTGGGGACCAAAATCGCCGCTGAATATTATCTTCCAAGGATTCGTTGCTCTACTGGTATATAAGGCTTAAAAACGATTATAAATTGAAAAAAAATACGACTCGGCAGGATATGAACCGGCATCCACAGCGTTCCGTGCTGTTGCTGTAACCAATTGAGCTACCGTATCCTCCACGCAATCGTCAAATTTTTAATACATATGCACTAAATACTGTCAGTCGATTTTTTCCAAGATTGGTACGCGAAGCAATTGAAATCAAAAAACACCGAAATTTCAATAGGGAGGACGGCCTCAAATTATCAAACACCTGGGATCCCATATTAAAAACTCTGGATCCCAATAAACAGCATACCGGCAAACGCGAAGACACCGTTAGCAATTCTTGGACCCGTCGTTTCGCTAAATACAACTTTGACGTCACAGATGGCGCTAGCGTAGCAATTTTTACTTTGACGTCAGAGACATCCTCCATCTTTAGCCTCCCCGTGACCACGGCTGCTGCAAAGCATCCGAAACGTCGGGCCGAAGTTAAAAATCATTTTCAAATATTTTTAACTAATATATCGCGTTTTAAACCGTTAAAGTGTTTTATTTAAATACATATGCACTTCTCGCGCAATATAATTTCAACCTTAACAATTGCATTTAAAAGGTTCAATGTCTTATGCTTTGCAGCTTAAGAAAATCTTTTAAATTACAAAGTTTAACGTTTGAAACTTTTAATATTTTTCACATTTCTCCTCGTCATCAGGTTGTAATTTTTTTCGATTTATAATCGATTTTTAATTTTTAAAGTGCCATCATGTGAAAAATATTAAAGTTTCCAAATAATGTTTTCTAATGGGTCGCAGATATAATTTAGAATGAAGACATCTTGATATTTATTTAATGTCAAACTACCGTCCATAAACGCTAAAGTCTATAGTTTGGGCTTCGTAATTTTGGTCTTCGATCGTCGAGTGCACTTGACTAAATGTTGGAAAAGGCTCCGGAAATTGTTTGATTATTACC